AGAGAGAGAGAGAGAGAGAGAGAGAGAGAGAGAGAGAGAGAGAGAGAGAGAGAGAGAGAACACATGGCCGGCAAGCCACTCCCACAAAGGAGGCCACACCCACAGAGTAGGTTCCAAAATTTTTTGAAACCCAGCACTGCAGTGATCCCATGATCCTGAGTCATAAATGCACGCCAAGCACCCAGATTTTGATTATGGGGATGGGGATGCTACAACTGTCATAAGTGTGGACAGTAGTCATAAGTCACTTTTTCCAGTGCTGTTGTAACTTCGGTCACTAAACAAATACTGGTAGTTGTAAGTTAAGGACCACCAGTAATAATTACATTCATCACATTTTAGAAAGTAACATCAAAACCCGAAAACTTTCTAAAGAGTATTGGAAGTGGAGAGGACACCAGGGAAAATTAAGAAATATGTATTGTTAGCACATTCTTCCATCTCAAAATGAGAGCGATGAAGTGATGAAGAAATAATTGAAACAGAAAATGCTTGGATTTGCCCGTGGCTTTTCAGGCTTATCTTACAGAACCCAACAATTTCAAAACTGGAACCAAAACTCTAAATGAATTGCTGTATAGTGCAAAACAACTCTACAGATACAGGTGGAAGTAGCAGAAATACAGAGCAGATGTAGTTTTCGTTACACATAACAGTGGCATAATTTGTAGCCAGAGACCTTCAATTATTATATTTCACCTAAGCAGCTTATGTAACGAGTGGCAAAAGTCTTATGCCTCCTTGGGAGGGAGGGAAATCCCTTTTGGCAGTACTGTATGTACTATTTAGCTAATGTTTCTAGTGCCAGATATTTCAGCAAAAACGAAATGGTGTTGACAGAGCAACTGAAACAAAAGATCAAGATATAACCGAAGGTTTTTGTTCTAGAACAAAAACAGACAAGTTGAAAGGTTGAGGAAGTAAACAGCAAAACGCTGTGTTGTTTCCAGGCATAAAGATGACCCACCTGTCACTACTTAACATTGCATCATTTCATAGTTATAATGCTGGCAGGGGGTTCGCACACACCCTAATCGCTTGAAGACTGCAAAATCAGCTGATTGCTTGCATTCATATGTGGAGGAACCATAGTAGAACAAACAGCACTAATTAAAACTATCTCAATTTATTGAGAGAAATTAAGAATTAACCTCTTCCTGTTCAAGCAGCCCCTTCTTTCTTCTTTGAGCAACACATCAATTTAGATGTTGGCTCGCAACCAAATTCCAGGAGCAAGTGGCATCACTAACATTTGGTGTGGGGGGGAAAAAACTGGTGTGCTGCCAGATTTGATGGCGCAACCTTCAAAAGGCCTCGAGTTGACCTAAGTTAGATCCTTTCTGATACATGATTTATGACATGCAGTAAAATAAAATGTAAAAATAATAATTGAAAGGCAGCGTGCCTCTTTAACCAATTGCAGCATTTACAGAAAAGGACCCTAAGGACATAGAAATAATAGGAAATTTTAAGATATTCAGCACTTTTTGAGTTAATTTTGGGGGGAAAAATGAAAATAACGTTTCATTAAAGATGGGCTGACATATTGCTCTGGCCCACAGTTTGTTGAACCAGTGGCCTTGTTCATTCATGCATATTAAATGACAAATCAAGGTAACAAGTTTACCTGATCTGGGCTCAAAAATCAGGATGGTTACTTTTGGTTTTTTTCCCCACCTCCTCGAGAGGTGGGTTCCTACCAGTTCGCACCTGTTCGGTAGAACCGGTTCGTCAAATCTACCGAACCGGTTAGNGGCAAGCCACTCCCACAAAGGAGGCCACACCCACAGAGTAGGTTCCAAAAAATTTTGAAACCCACCACTGAATAGGATGTTCATTATTTAAGACAGGCCATCCATTTGGCTTCACCCATCATGTTTGTTTCTTATGAAGCTCGGAAATTATGTCACATGCATGTGATTCTTGTGCCACTGTTTATCTGCACATGTGCTAAATGGTGATCTGAAAAAGAATGGGCTATTCTGAAAGCAAAACGCAAGACCCCTCCCTGGAAAAGCCTCAGTGCACAGTGACTTAATTGTTTGAATTGCATGCCTGAGCAGATTTTTGACCGAAGACAGAGATTAAACCGAACTGTAAAAAAAAGTGTTTGTTTTAAAACTCCCCTCCATCTCTCCTGTTCTTTGCTAATCTTAAATTCCGACTTGGCACAAGCCCTGCTCAGAATGGAGGTTACATAAAAGAGCTTATGAAAGCAGAACGACATGGTCTTGCCAGGCTGGTAAGGCCAGTTTGAACAGAGAAAACACATACTTCATTGTTTTGAACCCGGTCCTAATTGGGAGGTGTTTGTTCGGAAGCACTGAACATGCCATTGAAGAGAATGTGACAAAAGAGAGCAACAGAGTGGCACATGGTCGGTGCAGTCCTCTGCACACATGAGGGCCCATTGTTCTCTGAATGGAAAAAGAAAAGAGATCTAAGTGATGAAAAGAAGTGGTAATGATGAGAGATGACAATTCGATGCATGGGAACAGGATTTTTAGCCTAGAACATCTAGGGGTGCTTTCCATCACTCCTGAATGTCCAACTCTTCTGAACAGTATTGTTATATCCTTTTGTTTTTCATTGTCTGACCATCTAGCTCATGAACTGCAACTCTGGGCAGCTGACAGGATTAAATTTTAAAGAAATAAAATAAATATTAAAGATAAGGGCCAATTTTGTGTACTGGTGAAGGTGCCAGCCTAGAAACCAGGGAACTGTGACTTCTAGTCCCACCTTAGCAGTGGTGGGTTTCAAAAATTGTTCGAACCTACTCTGTGGGTATGGCCTCCTTTGTGGGAGTGGCTTGCTGCCCATGTGACCAGATGGGAGTGGCTTGCTGCCCATGTGACCGGATATGAAGATG